CTTGTGCAGCCATGCCATCAACTGGAAACAAAGTACTTTATTATATTTGCATCCTCAATTCGTCTGTTTTGTTTTGAATGCTAAGTGCACAGTGGCTCAATGCTTAGCACTGTTGCCTCACAGTTCCAGCAACCGGAGTTTGATTCCAGCCTTGAGCGACTGACTGTGTGGAGTTTATACATTCTCCCTGTGTCTGCGTGGGTTTCTTCCCACAGTCCAAAGATGTGCAGGTTAGGTGGATTGGCCATGCTAAGTTATTCGAAGTGTCCAGGGATGTGCAGGCTGGATGGATTAGCTATGGGAAGTGCACGGTTATAGGGATGGGGTAGGTCGGGATCGTTGTTGGCTCAATGGGCCAAATGCCCAGATTTTGCACTGCAGGGATTCTATGTGCAGTAAGATACAAAGTTCTCAGTGTTATCCTTTTATTCTTTATAGAACTTATCGTCTTACAGGTAGTTCTCCTATAATACAATAGTTGTGTTCTTGTGTGATCTCGTGCAATAGAAAATTGCTGTACCGTACAGTAGAAAGTTTGCATTATCCAAACAGCATTCACTATTTATCAATCGCATTATAGCCAATTTGTGTTAACAAAAACACGTTAAAGCAGAAATACCAGTATTTGTTGATCTCTTTTTTTCATTTGTATGCTCAATCCCTTCCTACTAAGGTGTGTTTACCATTTCCTGTAGTATTAGCTTTCCCTTTGTCCACGGGTTTACTTTTTGATTTACCACATCTTCCCAAATTTGATTTTCTGAGGCAGAGAATTCCACAGACTCACCATTGTCTGGATTTCTCAGCTCAGTAGAAGATGGCCTATCCCATTTGCTTGGGCTGTGATCCTTGTTTCTGCACTCACCAGTCATCAGTAACATCCTTCCTGACTTTACCCTGTCTAGTTATGTTAGAATTTTGTCGGTTTCTATGACATCTGCCTCCTAGAGTAGTTTTGAAGACTAACCCATTCGTACATATCCCTCTTTCCCTAAAACTAGTGCCAGTGTACAACTTCTTCAACACTAGTCTTCCAGCCACACATTAATCTCTTTAATCTGACTCATAGTTTACAAATTTGCGTATGGAATTATAAATGGAGCCTGCTACCTGTTTTGAAATGCCATGTTGTCTGTTGTGTTCAAAATAAGCTAAAAGACTTAAGTTTGCAGTGACCAGCAAGCAAATGATTGTTCCTCTTCCATTTGCCCACTTTCTGTAGCATTTTTCACTGGAAGATTCAATCCACCAACAATTGAACAAATATAGCACCACTTATAGCATGTGTAGACCCTGTAGGAATGAGACAACTTACTGTATACCTCTTTCACCAATCTGACTAAATATCATTAACAAAGCACAGTCTGACCAGGAAATCTTAGAATATGTCAATTAATGTCACAATTGGCAACAGAAAGCAAAATGAAATGAGCATTACAATTTGATTAAGAGACAAATGAAAGAGACAAGGAGAACATTTTTATAAAGTTTGTATTTTTAAAATCTCTAGAAATTAATCACATTTTAAGAATGAATCAAAATGTGTCATAGTTAATTTTTAGTGTCTTTTCATTGTGGTTGTTTGGCTGTAAATAAGAATTGCCAAGCTATTAAAAGGGTACTACCATTGAATGGACAAGTACCAACTTTTTGTCACCTGGTCACAATGTACCTATCAGGTAAGCACAGAATGTCACACTCTTCCATATATTTCATTGGTGAACATCTGTGCAAGATGCTGTAATCGTGCAGCATCTGGAGGAGCAGGGCATCCTGGATTGCAACTCTAAGATTTTATGCATTTTACTGTATGTGCAGTTGCTGGAATTTGTCTCTTTTACATATTACTTGTGAGTACTAAGAACATAAGAGATAGAAGCAGGAAAGGATCTTAAAACACTCCAAGTCTATTCAGTGTAATGTGGGCTGGTCTTTTCTATGAACTCCACTATCCTGCCCGTTCCTCATATCCCTTGATCCTGAGAGAGACAAAAAGAATGTTTCTAACTTCATCTGAAATATATTCAGTGGTGGTGCATCTGCAACACTGAAAGATCTATCCTTTAACTCCTTTTTCTGATCTATATGTTTCCCTCAGCAAAGTTATCTAGAAACATACCTGGCTTCATGTATATATTGAGAATGCCCAGTTTTAATTATCTGCTGCTTCTCTCAATGTTTCCACTGTCCCCAGTTGTCACACTGTCTGTTTAACATCCAGTACAAAATGAGCAGAAATTTCCCCTGATTAAATATTTATTGAATTTTGTTAGCATCCCCCAGCCTGCCCCCAAAAATGAGAACAAACCATATTCCCCTGTCGGACTCCTTGACAACTGATTCAGATTCAGTTTTTAATCAAATGGAAAATATACAGACACATTTGAGCCTGTTTTAGTAGCTAGTTTATGCTGCTGTCCTAATAACCTTCGTGCTAAATAGAGTTTAAGAGCATGGAAAGAGGCTCTTCATCCCATCATGATCATGCTGGTCATCAGTTCCCGTCTGCTCTAAACTAATTTCTCAGCATTTGCTCCATAGTCTTGAATACAATCATACTTCAACTAGTCATCTAAATACGTTAGAAATGTTATGATTATTCCTGCTTCTACCACCCTTTCTGGCAGTGAGTTTCAGATATTCACCACCCTCAGGGAGAAAACATACTTCCTCCCAAGCCTTCTGCCTATACCTTAAATCAATCCCCCTGGATAATGGTTTACTAATGAGAAATATTTTCTATATACTCTTTCTATGCCCCTCATCATTTTGTGCACCTCAATCAGGTTCTCTCTCAACCTTCACAAACAAAAATAGAAACTACTGGAAAAACTCAGAAGGTCTGGCAGTGTCTGTAAAGAGAAATCTCAGTTAATGTTTTGAGTCCAGTGACCTTTCCTCAGACTGTCCCATAATCTTCTCAGCTCTGAGGAAAACAACCCAAAACTATATAATCTCTTTTCAGAATTGAAATCCATAAAATATTTTGGTGAATCTCTTCTGCAACCTCTCCAGTGCAATCACATGCTTCCCATTGTGGGTGACCAGAACTGCACACAGTACTCCAGCTGTGGCCTAACTAATATCTTACACAGCTCCATCATAATCTCCCTGCTCTTGTATTCAAGGCCTTGACTAATAGAAGCAAGTATCTCAGACTTCCAAAATTTGTACATTTTGGATTTGTGCCATTTCTTTAAATCCAGATAGTATCTGAGAATTACACTGAACACCAGATGAGAGAGGAATATTGCACAGCTATCTGAGGGGTTCAATGATACTATATGAATACAAATAACTGTACTGTAAACTACTTGTCTGTTTTTTTTAAAGCATACTTCTCAAACACTCCTGAGCTGAAGTTCTTTGAAACTGACACATTTCAGTAAAGAAATATCAGACTGTTGGTTCTAATGTGTGTATGTGAATGATCATCAATTAGATGGTAGGTATTTCCATGGTAATTTGGTATCTTCCTCGATATTAATGTTTTTTTTAAACAGATTTCTTTTGTGCTGACAGCCCCAAGCAGTGATGGATCAGGTTGTCTATGTGTAGCTTGGTAAGGTCCAGAAGAACCAGCAAGTCAGGCAGGAGGGTACTTAAATCGGAGGGAGCTTGAAGAGACTGAGGTCATTTCAAACAAAATATTACAATAAGTGAGAAGGTAGCTCTTAAGCCCTTAAGTGAGTAGATAGTCTTTGGAATTATTGTAATCTGAGCTCTTCATTCCTGTACCTGCAGATGACCCCAGCTTTACTGGGTTAAGGTAGACACATTTTTTCCTCTTATGAAGCTTGTAATTTAGCAAACATGAAGTTCAAGATCAGATGAGGTCTGAGTTTACCCAAGCAAAGTCTGCAGTATCTCTCGCACTGATCTCATGCAGAAAATTAATCCGGAATAGCGAAAAGAAAGCACCTTGCTGCCCAATTCTATTTTGCACAATATGATTTATTAAAACAATTTTAATTTCAGATTTTAAGTTAAAATTCATAATTTTGGAATAAACATTTCATAAAATATTCCTATGCAATATTTTTTCGCTATACACTTAGTCATTTAAAATAGCAAAAATAATGACTAAAACAATTAGTAATTCAGGTGTAGTGTAAATATGAAGGCATGAATGAGAATTAAGAATAATTTGTCTATAAATTATTTATTTTAATTGAATATTTAGATAAGGCATTCAATACGGAAAAATGTGAGAATGGAAGCAAATAAAAGGTCAATTTTCTCTTAAATTGCCAGTGCTCAGTCTGTTTCAAATTCTGTTGTTTGTTCCTAGTCAAATATTTATTTCCAGACAGCTCTGGTACTTCAATTATACGCGGGTTAAAGACTGTTTTCCTCACCTTTTATGAACTATATTTGTGCATTTAAAAATGTTATTGGATTCTTAAATTACACTGTCAGGCTAGTGGCGGTGACTTTGTTGGTTTCGACATGCCTGGGGACGGTAAATTCCACTAGTAAGATGCTAAAATAGGGAAACGGAACAGTTTCCATGGGGGGGTGAATGTTCCATGTGACTTAGGCGGTTGCAGACGGGAATCGAGATATCTGTTAACTTCAATAATGTATTTGTGTGTGTGTGTGTGTGTGTGTGTGTGTGAACTGTGAATAAGAAATTTCGTTACGTGGATTGTATGTCAAAAAAATGGAAAAGTAAAATGTGAAAAGTTGGGCCAAATTATCCTCTTTAAGGTACAGTTGGAAATAACCAGTAGCTCGGGGCTCAGCTGAGGAACTCCATCCATATTTACTATCTATCCCGTTAATCCAGAGCTCTATTGTTAGACTGGGGAGTGGGGAATTAAAATCCACCCTGCTGTTGAGCACGGAGGCAGTTCTCCCACACAGTCCCGTTCCCAGTTGACTAAGTAGGAAGTGCGGTCTTCCATCTGGAAAGGAGAAACAAGCCTTCCCAAAAGGGCAGAGAGACTCATTCTTGTCATTACGAAGCTGATCGACTTTTTCAAAATGCTTTCCCTCTTCTATAAACCCGCGTTACTATATGTAACTTGCTCGGAGTCCTGCGCGGATATGCTTTGAGTCTTCAGCCGGTTCTGAGTGAAATCGTTGAAGCCTTTACCTGTTGCGAATGGCTCTGGCTGCAGGGTATAAGTGAAATACTGTTGGGGCATCAGAAAGCTCTGGGCCTGGCCAATATGTAGGGTCTGTGCATTCTGCAGGCACCCAGGGGAGCTGTAAACCGGCGACGGCGATGCCACCAGGCAGCCGTGCCCTGACTCTGTTCTGCTGATGGAGAATCTGTGAATGGAGCCACCGGTTGAGCTGGAGCTAGTGGCAGTGCTCGACTGCCGGGATGGGGTCCTCAAATGTGTAAAAGTTGGGATCATGGGAATGGTCTCTGTTTGGTGATTCCTCATTGAGAAACGCATTGGCTGCGGATTTGATTGCTTGGGTCTAAGGCACGTACAACAGTAAACGGCAACCAGGGAACCCAGGATGATGAAAGCAATGAATATGGAACCGACAATAAGGAACGGCATATAGACGGGCTCTGTAGAGAAACAGAATAATATTGAATTAGTAATCAGCACAGGGAGTGAGATATAGAAACTCCGGTGTAACTATTATCAGAACCAAATACTAATTATATTTCGAGAGATTGCAGAGTGCTGGGACACCTTGACAGATTCTAAGATAACATCCCTAACTAATCTCCAGAGCTCAGCAAAGTGAACATTAACTCATGGAGTAAGAATGTATCTACTCATTGCATGCAGGCGACAAGAATTTTAGGGGGATATGATGGTTCAATCGCTAAATTGACCCAGTGACCCCAGCTAATGTTCTGGAGGCCCTGGTGCAAATCCCGCCATACCAGATAGTGGAATTTGGATTTAATTTTTAATAATCTGGAATTAAGAAGCTAAAGATGACCATGAAACCACTTCGATTGGTTGACTAATAAAACTGTTCTGAAGAAGGGTAATACCCAGATCGTTGACTGCTCCTTTCCTCCAGATGCTGCCTGGCCTGCTATGTTCTTCCAGCCTCCTGTTGACTAATAAAACTGCCGTTCTTACCTGGTCTGATCGACATATGACTCCAGACCCACAACAAAGTGGCTGACTCTGAACCGCCCTCTGGGCAATTAGAAATGGGCAATAACTGTGATGCCCACATCTCGTGAATGATTTTATTTATAAATAAAAAGTTCTCATCAATAAAAGACAATTTTGTGAAATATGATCTGAGTTATGTTCTAAATAATATTCAAAAAGTTTCCAATATTCTTCCCTATTGGTCAAGAATATGAAAAGCAAGTTATTTCCCACTTCATCTTGAAGTTCGGGACAGAATTCTACTGTAAAACTTGTGGATCACAAGATATAATGAAAAAAAAACTTAGGAGCAGTTCAATTCTAAACTTAGAGCAGGTAAGTGCCAGTGTGTATAGAATCTGTAGAGGCCAACACCAGCTAACACAGTCCAGCATGAACGGGCTAGCGAGTGAACACACACTTTGTGGGTGGCCCAGTACCCAACATCCCTGCTCACTCCAATCCAGTTAATGAACATGTAAGGCAATCCCGCCAAAACATAACACCGGTGAGGACAACTCTGGTCCCTCCACCACCTTAAAACAAAATATCTTCCCATCTAAATGTCTGGCTAGAAAACGGCTGCTCGCTGCTGGCCTGGAAACTGATACCGCTCGGTGGTGGGGGGCGGGGATGGATGTGAGCGGGGGTATGCCTGCCATACACAGGGGGAAAACAACAACACGCCAAGCAGCGACGTGCGCTTCATTTTAGCACGAATTGAGGGGGAGAGAAATTCTGTAGAAATAATTCCCACTGTTCAGTCAAAATACGAATTGTGCAATTTCTGTCGCTCCAGCAAAATCTCCAAAGAACAAGAAAATCAGTGACATTGATTCAATACGTCTGTGTGAAACGTACACTTTTTACCTTTGATGGACATGAAATAGTGTTAAAATTGTTTGTTTCAGACATTGGGATATTCTCAATAATCCTTTGTCTCTTGTTCACCTAATTGTGTTGATATTTGTTTGTTTGTTAAGTGCATGTTTTCCTGAAACTATTTCACCCAAGAACCAGAAAATGCCGAGATACCGACGTTAATCGATCCTGCTATATAAATCCTCGAAAAAGCTAAACCAGATAAAAAAAGAACAAACTGATATTTTTCGAACGAGTCTGTAACTCCGACTCCAACGTACCAGTTTCACGAGTAACCCTGTGTGAAAACATTCACAATTTCTGCATTATTTTCAATTAGATAAGGACTTAATCACTGTGAGAAGTCAAAATAGTTATTACAAAATGGTACATTACGCTATACTCCCGAAATACTCTCATAACTATTTAAAAGCAAAACGAACAAAAATCTCAATCCCAATCTTAAACCTGTCCCAGGATCATTTCCCAGTTTGCACATTTCCGGGTCTGCAGCAACTCTGGCGCATTCTTTTTACACCACGTTTTAATGGATGCATTTGACCTGATGCTGTTTTCAACGAATTTTTAAAAGTGACTGTGCCTGCAAGTTATTTTAAATCGATAGCTGGCCTTTGGCAGAAATAAGGAAAACGCAGCATTTGTGTTTTATTCTGTTTGCCTCCGGTATTTGGCCGCTCTTGTTGGTTCACAATTTCATTCAGAAATTATTCTGTGGAAATCCATCCACTTCTGACGGTAATCCTAATAGAATTAAGCCAGATGCGGTGTTGATTTCTCTCGATGTTCCTCCCCACTTGTTGGAGTAGCCGAGTGTACCTGAGAGTCGAACATGAGTTATGGATTTTGGCCGTTTCCACTACCCTGTCCGTTCCTAAACCAATAATTCACCGTGTATTTTTAAAACGTTTTCCACAGAGAGTGAATTCCTCGGCGCTAATCCCACCCCTCAGTGTCCGATATTAGATTTCTGCCTGTAGTAAACCGGGCGGTGCGGAACTCTGCAAATCTAATAGCAAGTGGAGAAAGTTGGAGACTGTTGCTGGTGATCCCAGGAGATCCATCAGTGTCACGTTCCGAGGTATTGCAGTTGTATTTGATAGCAGGAAGGAATGTAAAATGAGACTGGATCTCTTAGGGTTATCAATAGAAAAGCTGTCACAGACACTCGTTTAGGCTGGCTTAGCTTTCTGTCCCTTTATACGTGGAGCTAATGCAATTTCATGCTCATCTGATTCACTGCAATTTCACATCCCAATATAAGCACACCACTTAAAGAGTCACTATCCCTTCCCGTGCACCTAACCATCTCCCGCTGTAATAGGATCTGCCATAAATTAAACTAATCTAATTTGACACCCCAACCCTTGTGCACACCGCTTCACGGTAGCACGGATGTATTGAATCTCAATATCAGTTTGGAAATAAATACGTTATTAACTTTCTTTAGGGTGCAGACTGTAAAGGACGGGAGGTGGCAACAACCCAATTAACAACTTTTTTAAAAATGTACTAAAACTACTTCCAATCGTCTCTGAAGAGCTAACCACTCGCCGCCGGAGGTTCCAGTTTATAGAATGGTGAGTTCCAGGTTAACGTACTGCTGCAAGTTGGTCAAAAACCACTTCATTTCTCCCCATTCCTGGAAATCTAACTCCAGGGGAGAATCCAAATGCGAGTGTTTCGCATCAAACGATTCCGAAAAATGTCCACCCGCTGACCGGATACTGCAAATGATCTTTCTCAGATTAGCAGACTTTAAAATGAGATTTTACAGTCAAACCACAAACAATTGCAGTAACACAGGCTGTGTTTGGGGCGATGCTCCTAGAGTCACACACGACTATAATATTTGCAAACAAACCAGAGAAAGTTTCTAACGGGACGAATCGCAAAAACAGAAGCCGGGGTTTAAAAAAAATGCTAATGTGGGGAAAAAAATACAAATTGTAACTATCAAAGGAGTGCGATTTCAGGGGAATGACATGCCGACGTGTATTGAAGAACAATTATTAATTGGGGAAAGAAACGTGTGTATATTTCAGAGAGAACAAATGCCAAACCTAGACTAAAATCCCATTGTTAGGATTAGATTTGCTTTTTTTTCCTGTTACTGCTGTTCAGAGCGAACAGATCAGCTGGCCAAGACTGGCGTGTTTCTCATCTGCAATAAATTCTGCTGGGAGATCGTAAAGACAAACTTTAGGGAACTGATTGTTTTCAATAACTCTTACCACCGCGAGTTTCCAACCAACACATCTTTGTACTTTACTCGCGTTTCGTGGCTTTATATCATTCCACCCGAGCATCGGTTATTTATAAATACCATGTGCAGTGGCGTTAAGCCCAGAAATGGTTGTGTAGCCGCAGCCTCGGCTCTGGGTCTCCGGAGGGCTGAGACTTACGTGCTGAGTAATCGGGGTTCTGCTGCTCTCTGTCGTTGGTACAAAGCCCCTGGTCCAGCCTGGCCTCAGCGGCCGCACAGCAGTAACGTAGAGAACACGAGCCGCAGCATGTCGTGGCGTCCGCTGTATCATAATCCTCAGGACACTGGAAACCGTCGTGCCATTTGCCCGCATTGTCAATCCAACCGTGGCAAAACTCCCCCTGAGCACCGCAGATGCCAACACTCCAGGTGAAGAGGCCGAGGATCAGGCAAGGTAACACAGCCAGCATCCTGCCTCAATCCACTGGGCGACCCGCTCCCCCCGTTTTACTGCAGCGCAACTGCTGCACTTCGCATCGTCTCGTTAAAACTCATCCTGTTTTGAAAAGTTCTCCTCATGGCGCGAACGTAGAGCTTCATAATAGGGCCAAAAATGTCCTTTTCTTTTAAATGGCTTGCCAACAAAGTTTTGTTTTCCGTTGCCTGGACAAGTTTTTTTTCTAAGCAATGCTTTCCATTCCCCAAACAATGGTGAGCAGTGAGTGGGCTCTTTAAGATTGTAGCCTGCAGGAATATCCTGAAAGTCGCATTGTTAACAGCACAACTCCAGGAAGAGATCCCCAGCAAACCTCAGGTGCCTTATTTCAGGTCAATGTAGATCGACCTGAGGACTCAGCATTTGTTCTGTTTGCATTAGCAAATGGAAGGCAAAAAAAAAGTTCAGCTGAGTTTAAAACCATTTGTGATGTGATCTGTTCCCCAAGCGCCTAATGGGGCTTGGCATACAGAACTGCCCTTTACAGACAAAACCTTTTCTTGAACCATTAACCGCTGACAACCAGTTGCAGATATGTCCCCTCCCCCGTTCAAATATTCTTCGCAGTTACTTCAGAGTTAACGTTGGAGCTTCCCAGGGCTGACAGGTCCAGGCTCTGGGCAGGACAACAGAAGTTCCCTCCCACCGGGCCGAGCAGAGCGCGCTTCCGACGCACGTGCCCGCGCCAACTCCCCGCTGAGCGCGCCCCCTATCCTCCTCGCGCCCCCGTTTGCGTGCTCCCTTGAGCCCCGATAGCGCACAGTAAGCGCGCGGGAGCTATTTCAGTTTGTAGCAGTAATTTTAGTTCAAACTTGAGATGTTTGAGGAAGATTCAGTCAAATGGTAAGACCCTCTGGAGACTTTTCCGTCCCCCTCAGCGGCGGTCTGGTTGCATGATTTTTCATACATTGGGCATTGCTGGCACAGCTGCTACCTTCCACTTCTAGCTGCCGCTCAGAAGATGGAATGAAGCCTTTTCCTTGAACCGCTGTAGTCCATGTGGTAAATGTACTGCAGAAATATAAAGAGCAATTAGAATTTAAGAAGTAGTAGAATTGTACGCGATTAATTCTCCACCATTCAATGAGATCTTGGCTGATTCGATAATCATTTTCTCATAGAATTCTTGATTCGCTTACTAGTTAACAATCTGTTCTTCTTAGTTTTGTGTCATTTAATGACACAGCCCCAATAGCCCTCTGCAGTAAGCAATGCCAGTGTCGAATTTCCCAATATTGTGCTGTAACTTTGTTGCAACTTGCCTGTCCCGAAGAACGTGGTAAATGATGACCTACAACATTTCTGTGGTGTTTCTGTAGATCTTTCACGAAAGTTGGTAGGGAAGATCTGAACTCACGAAGGAAATTCCATACATTTTAATTTAATATTGTCACTTGTATCTAGGTACAGTGAAAAGGGTATAATGTTGGCATGCTGTGATGCCATCTTAGATTATAGAATAAATTACTGAATAAATAGTATAAATTTTAAAATACTGAATATTAAATTGATGTTACTGGACCTGAAACAGCTTCAAAAAAGTTGATCCTTCCCTCTGTAGCCTTCAACCTCTCTGCTCCTCCAGTCGTTACCGTCTGACATCATCCCCATGGTTCTGGCAATGCAGAGGGCTTTCAGGATTGACTCTACTTGCCATTTGTTATGTAGTACACAATTTTAAAAATGGCCCTAAATGATCACAAATGGCCTTTTCTGCCACCACCATTTATTTATTGTATGGGGTTTCGCATTTAAACATGAAAGATGTACAGCGGGAACAATTTCACAGCTCCAAATTCAGGAAAGGAGCGCATAATTTTGGGATTTATAAAGAAAAAGTCATTGGTCACATTATGAAGGCTCTTGTGGTAAAAAAGAATCAAAGTTGCCAAAATCTATGAGGTATTCAGATTGAAATCGGTGCTACTGGCATCAAGAGATTCTGAATAAAACCACATATGTGAATGTATTTTACAAATCTAGATCTGGAAAGAAATTTAAGTAAAAACAGAGAAAAGTTTGTGCAAAATGTGTGATGCAATCGGATCATCTGCCCAATCAGGCCACGGAGCGACTCGTGTGAAATGGTTGTGCCTAATATTTTTGAGAAAGACTGTCAATGTACCAGCATTGATCCTGCTGTTTATTGGGGAGAGGTGGGAAACCAGGCATAAAAGGTGCCATTTAAAAGCATTCAGCACAACTTAAAAAGGAAATGTCATTGGCAATTTTTAATTGAGTAGTACATTACAAATGGCAAGTAGTGTAAGTCCTGAATGCCCTCTGCATCAGACCTCCCAACATGACCCTCTTTTAATTTTCTCGGTACTCCTGACCCTGTTCTTTTGTTTCCATGTACTCTTTGTGATCACAGCAGCATTCAACACCAGATCACCATCTGCTGCTACTCCCATTACATGCACCTTTTAGCGCCCTCATATTTAGTTGCTTCACCTCTTCACATATGTTCCATCTATTAGACACCACCACACCAATCTACCTCGATAAACATATCCTCACAGTCGCTTCTTCATTTTGAACAATGTTGCACAATACACCCAGGAGCAGACCAGCCACAGAAAAGGGCATCGTCCTATCACTTAGAAGTGGCAATAAAAATGTGGCCAAAGGCATGTCAGGAATGTTGCACCTGGTGAAACTGAAGGATGCATTCTGCAGCGTGTTTTCTATCTTAACCGCTTTGACTGGACAGAAAGGGTTGTGAACAATGGTATTAGCATATCTTATGAATCTAGATCCAAACTTGATGTTCCTGTAGAAATCCTGAATACAGCAGGAAAACAGCAGTTTATGGATAGACAGAAGAATATTTGAATCATTTCTGGTGGTGCATTGCATGTGGATTGCAGGGCTAAAAAGTAAAGGTGACGTGCACATGACCTGGAAGTGCAGACCAATTCAACAGTTTGGTAGAACCCAACAGTCAAAACAAATGACTTCTCCTGCGTATGTTTCTCTCGTCTCTGAATTGGCAGTAGATTTGCTTCTGTCAATGAAGGCCAACACACTATTCGCCTTCTTTACTGCCTGCTGCACCTGCATGCTTACCTTCAGTGACTGGTGCACAAGGACACCCGGGTCCCACGCACACTCCCCTCTCCTAATTTACAGTCATTCAGGTAGAAATCTGTCTTCTTGTTTTTGCTTCCGAAATGAATAACCTCACATTTATCTAAATTATGCTCCATCTGCCATTGATTTGCCCACTCACCCAACCAGTCCAGATCATGCTGAAGGATCTTTGCATCCTCGTCACAGTTCACCCTCCCACCTAACTTGGTATCATCTGCAAACTTGGATGTGTTACATTTTGTTCCCTCATCCAAATCATTAACATATGTTGTGAATAGCTGGGGTCCCAGTACTGATCCCTGTGGCACCCCACCAGTTACTGCCTGCCAAATCGAAAAGGACCCATTAATTCCTACTCTTTGTTTCCTCTCTGCCAACCAGTTTCCTATCCATCTCAGTACACTTCCCCCAATCCCATGCGCTTTAATCTTGCACATTAATCTCTTATGTGGGAGCCAGTTAGTGAGAGACTCTGTTTCCTCACACTCCTGCTGTTTGTGCTTGATCTCCATCTGAGCCACTTGGGAATGCCCAGGATGGTTGGCATTTTAGCAGTTTATTCTTCTCCAGTTTGGGAAGTCCAAAACAAGAAATTCCCATGAGTTTTAAGGGATGTTGCATTTTGAGTGATGCCTTGAGAAGATTCTTGAAGCGTTTTCTCTACTTTCTTGGTAAAGTTTGGAGTGGAGAGCTTGTTTTGAGTGTCTTGTATCAGGCATGTGGAAAATGTATCCTATATAATACTGTAGAATGCAGTAACCAGTTCCTCAAGGTTGGGGGTGTTGGCCTGAGAGTAGTTATTGACATTTGAGAACTTCTCCTGCCATTGGATTTCCAGGATTTGTAGAGGCATTGCTGGTGATGTTTCGGTCAGGATTTGAGAAGCTCACTGTACATTGTTCAAGCCTCTGACACATACAAAGAACAGGCATCACCATTGCTGTGCAGATTGTGAGCTTGGTGCTGGTTTTGGGGTCTTTGTTATCAAACACTATGTTCCTCAGATGACCAAAAGTTGCACTGACAGGCTGGAGGTGATGTTGAGCTTCATCATCCATGTCTGACCTCATTCAAAGGATTCTGCTGAGTTATGAGAATTGATCCAAATTGTCCAGTGGCTTGCTGTTGATCTTGATTGTTGAAGGACAGTGTTGTATGGCAGGAGTAGATTGGTAGAGGACCGTTGTCCTCTGGACATTTACCTGGAGGTCTATTCTTTCCTTCACCTTTGTGTGTGTACACGTGATTGCATCTGGGGAATGTAGCTTGATGACTTGTGTTGTGGTGGTCTTGGTTTTGGACTTGAGCTAATGCAGGTTGAAGAGTTTCCTGCTCATTCTGTGGAGAATCTGCACTCAGCAGGAAGCTTCATTGACATGAGCATATTCATCGCCTTATAGTGTGGAAGATGGAGAAGAGAGGTGGTGCGATGACAGGGCCTTCCTTGATCACAGTTTGCATACAGTTGGTAGTTGATTCATTGGTGAGGACAGTGGTGAATTCTTATGGGCAAGCAAATTTTAGGAGGACACTTCACAGTCTCTCCCAGTTGACAAAGTTAAAAGTTTTTGTGAGATCAAAGAAGGCCATGTATAAAAGTTGCTGCTGTTCCCTGCACTTTTCTTGGAAAGATCCTGCTGTGGAGATCATGCCCACAATATTTCCTGATGGGGAGAATCTGCATTGTGATGCTGGTAGTATTGCTTCAGCCACTGGGAGAAACTGATTGAGAAAAGTTTTGCAATGATCTTCCATGTGGCAGACAGTAGAGATCCGTCTGTAATTACTGCAATAGGTCTTATTCCCTTCCTTGCAGATGGTCTCCATTATGGTGTTTCAGAGATCTGCTGGCATGTTCTTCTCCTTCCAAATAAGGCCATT